TGCGGCGCTTCCTCCGCCACAGCGTTAACTTGTGCGCGTACTTCAGCCAGGATAGATTTGTATCTATCCGTGTAGCGAATTTTCCTCACAGCATCCTTAGTCCGCGTCGTAATACCTAGCACAGCAAAGGTCTCCGTATTCACCACAGAGAAAGGAATCGTTACTTCCTTAACCGCCAGCTCCCGCAGTTCCCTGTCTGTCCAAGCAAACTCCGTTTTCTCTTTCAGCTGCTCGTTCCATTCAACTACATGCTTTCTTTGCCTATGCACCTGAAGTCCTGAAAAGGTATCCGAAGAGAAATTACAACTCGCGCAAGCGAATTGCTTTTTCTTCTCCACCACTCCCGCAATACCCTTACAGTACCTCAGATGTGTTCCCACACTGAGTTGGACATCACCCTCATACGGACACTTATTACACCTGTACCGAACTGCACTCGGTGCAAGTTTATGAATTTGAGCCAAATGTGCCCTTAGTTCTTTTCCGATCGTAAACTTTCTTAAACACACAGGACAGGACCAAATACCCTTGGCACCTGGGTGTATGACTACACACGCTTCAGCACCATCAGCTCCTGCTGTTTGTTTATTGACAGTTAAACCCCCCTTTCCTACCGAGGGTACGTCACCTATCATGATTATATTGCTCATAACGTTCAATAAATGTGCACCAGAATTAAGGGGGTGTTAGCCCCATAACCCCTTACGATGCGTTCGGATAAGATCTTTATTTCTCCTTATCCATGGAGTCCCGTCATCCATTAGCCTTGATCACTGATCCAAGTTTCTAGTTGCGCCGCGTAGAGGCTGGATGGCCGGATTTACCACAGTTTATACGAGAGACGACTTATGGAAAAACTTCCACTCCTCCTCCCAAAAAACTATGGCTACCAAAAAATGTGTCACTGACCCCAAGTTTCAGCTTTGCAACCTCGGTCCAGGTCCAACAACATTTACAATGCGCTTTTGGACCTTGTCAAGAGGAGAAAATGAGTACAGGGACGAATAAGAGATTTGTAGAGGTAGAGAATGGAATCAGAAGTAAGGAAATGACGAGCACGATAAAGAGAAGCAACCTTAGCAGAAGCTAATTTATCAATCGATTGTATATATGGTTTCCATGAAAGGTCAGTAGTAAGCGATAATCCAAGAAGACGTAAAGAGGAAGACTCAGTAAGAGGACTGCCATTCATTAATATAGGAATGTTGACCATATTACGGTAGTTGTTTGCAGTAAACAACTGGGTTTTGTTAGAGTTGAAATTCACAAGCCAATGTGAACCCCAATCTATTACTGAAGTGAGATCAGATTCAAGATCAGCTGCTTGTTCTAAGCGATCGAAAAGAGAAGACTTTTTGTCAAGACAGGAGTGTAAAGTTGAGTCATCAGCAAAAAGAGCTACTTTAGATGAAAGGTTGTCAGGAAGATCGTTTATGTAGATAAGAAACAAAACAGGGCCCAGGATGAAACCTTGGGGAACCCCAGAAAAGACTGGAAATAAAGAAGAGTGTTGGCCTTCAAGGATGACTTTAATAAACCATTTAGAAAGAAATGATTTGATAATCTCAAAAACTTTCCCAGAAACACCATATGAAGCAAGGTTATGGAGAAGACCAGCATGCCAAACTTTGTCGAAAGCTTTAGATATGTTGAGAGCAATAGCCCTTGCCTCACCGCCTCCATCTAATGCACAATAAAATTTTTCAGTTACAGCAGTTTGCAAGTCGGCCGTAGAGCGAGAGGATCAAAAACCATATTGATTGTCTGACAGTAGTTTATTTGACTCAAGATGAGATGTGAGGAATTCGTTGATCAAAGACTCAAAGACCTTGCTAATAACAGAAAGAAGACTGATTGGACGATAATTGGAGGGTCAGAATTTTCTCCAGAGTTTTTGAATATTGGAACCACAGATGCCATTTTCCAACAAGCAGGAAAACAAGACTCAGTCAAACACTTGTTAAATAGTTTAGAGAGAATTGAAGAAAGTTCTGGAAAACAATTCTGTAAGACTGTGACAGGAATGTTATCAGGACCACAAGCTGTAGACGAGTTTAATTGAGATATGACTTTAGCAACAGAAGCCGGAGTGATTTGAATGTCTAACAATGGGTCAACCTGTTTGACTGGAATGGAAGGAAGAGAATGTCCATAAGATTCAAGAGTGGAATTAAAAGAAAAGTTCTTTGCAAATAGTTCTGCCTTATCCTTGGGAGAGGTAACAAGATCAGTCCCATGAAGGAGAAATGGAATGTTAGATCTACCCTTGTTAATAATGCTGTTGAAGATTTTCCAAAAGTCTTTAGAGCCTAACTTCTGTGATAAGATGCAAGATTTAGTGAACTGAGAATAATGGAGTTTAGCATCAGAAAGCACTTTTTTACATCGATTTCTTGCAATAATAATTAGTCGTTTGTTCTCAAGAGAGTTGTTCTTTTGAAAAAGATGAAAAAAATGATTACAATTGGATATAGCAGCCGCACAAGAAGGAGAAAACCATGGAGTAGAATGAGGCTTGACTTGAAACCGACAAGAAGGAATAAAAGCTTCCATTCCAGCCTGAATCCAGGAGGTTACGTAGGAGGCGCATTTGTCAGCTGAGAGAGAAAAAACATCAGCCCAAGGACCATCACAAAAAAAATCACGAAAGGAATCCCAGTCAGCTTTAGGGTAGTAGTAGGTGGTGCGATGATAAGGTGAGCCCAAAAAAGAAGTACAAGAAGAAAGATTTATTGAGATCATTGCATGGTCAGAACCACCTAAGGGAGAAAAGGGAGAAATTGAACATAAGCTAGGGTCAGAGACAAGACATAAGTCAAGGAGTGAAGGTAAATGATTAGGGTTGTCAGGAAAACGAGTCACAAAGTTAACTATCTGAGTAAGAGATTGAGAAACGCAGAAGTTAAAGGCTTTAGTGCCAGCAGGATTAGTGGTGTTAGAACCAAGCCATTCAGTGTGATGAGCATTAAAATCACCACCAACAATAATATTAGCAGAGGGGTAAAGAGAGAGGGCATGGTCAATTTAATCAGAGATAACATCTAAAAGAGTGCAATCATGAGAAGAAGGAGAACGATAAAGAACAAAGAGAAAGGTGAAGAGGTAGGCGAAAGCACATAAAAGAATGGTCAAAGGATTCGAACCTGATTTCACGACAAATAGGGGAATTAATGCGTATGTACCCCTAAACCTAGCATGTGACTATTGGAGTCTTTACGAATCAAAGAATGGTACCCATCAACACTGACATCTGAAGAAGGAATTGCAGAATTTAAATTTGTTTCACTGAGTGCAAGCAAGTCTGGTGAATTTTGCAGAAGGTAAGACTCAACTGACGGAAAGTTGCTTTGCAGACCACGAATATTTGTAAAAGATATATTAAAACATTTAGTTGATAGGGATGGTTTTTTAGGTTTAAAATTTTTAGTTTTTTTGGTCATGATTTGGGTTTAATGAGAACTTGACTCATTCATAGATAGAGCACAGCCTCCTAATCAATGAGCTATGCAGTTTTCTCAGTCCTGTTAATTAACCCTAAGCCGTGACATAGGGCTCCTTATGTGGCCTTGACAATGCACACCAAAAGCATTAACAGGGACACCATCCATGCGCAACATGGCACTGTTGATACTCTGATATTTTGCAGCTGTTGATGGAATTATCCTCTCTGAGAGCTACCACAGAGTTCAGGAAACCTTACTACCAGCCAGCCTCAAAACCATTAAACTGAGTTTTAGAGCTGTACCCTCATATGGAGATAACAGGAAGAGTTGCATAGCCAATATCAAGGAGGCATAAACAAAATTCTATGAGTAGAGTCAAGGAGATCCAGCATTCATCATCCTAGGCAGGAAACAATGTAACACAGGTTACATCTACGCCAGCCTAATAGATGAAGAAGGGGTTCGAGGCTGGTTAGCAGAATTTTTCTGCTTACCTCTAAAGTCTTTGCCGAGGAGGCCTTTTACAAGACAGTAGCTGGATGCAGTTAACATCTGCCCAAGATGAGTATTTTTATTTAGACACCATCTCTAGCTTTTACTCAACCAAGAGCCCCAAGGCAGGGGATGTTTAGCTGGATGCAGTAAACATCTGCCCAAGATGAGTGTTTTTATCGAGACCATCTCTAGCCTTTACTCAACGAAGAGCCCCAAGGCAAAGGAATTTTTAGTCGGAGTTTATTTCTCCTAGCCTTTGCCTAAGAAGAGCACAGTCTGCAAGGCAGCAGGCTTGTGGCAGGTGGTACTGGGTTACGTGATACCAGTAGCAAGATTGATCTTGATTATCCTGACCTGACCTGGAGTAGTTAAAAGGAGTTACTTCCTGCAACAGTACTTTTAGAAAACCAGGCATGACATTTTGGAAGTGCATTAGGAAAAACACTGCATCTAACAAAATCTAATCTAAGGTGAGTGTAGGTTTCTAAGGAGTGTAGGAGTCTAGGTTTCTAAGGAGAGTAGGTTTCTAAGGAGTGTAGGAGTCTAAGGTGAGTGTATGTTAGTGGAGTTAATGTAAATTTAATAAAGAGTTTTAATAAAGTTTTAATAAAAGTTTTAATAAAAGTTTTAATAAAAGTTTTAATAAAAGTTTTAATAAAGAGTCTAAGGTGAGTGTAGGTTAGTGGAGTGGAGGTTAAGTGGAGATAAATAAATTAAAAAGGTCTATGAAGGTCTTGAAATACAAAACTTCCTCCTTTTAAATGGCAAAACAACCATAATGGACAGTAAGAGATTGTTTGGTCTTTTTGTATCAAGATATTTTAGTAATGAGCTGTTATAGCCAAAATTGCATCATTGACAATATTTTATTTTAACTTTTCTTAGCTGTATTTTAAAAAACAATTTCATATAGCGTTATAATAAAAAAGTTTATAAAATTTAAAAAGAAATTGAATTAACTAACAACCAATGATAACATGTTTTATTAGTCATTACTAGTAATATATTAATATCTTACCATAAAGCTCTGAAAAAAAAATTAAAAAACTTTAATAATTAAACCTTTTTTGTATGATATCCCCAACTTAATGCGATTATTGAAGGCTTTACAAAAAACATCAGTTTGTAATTTATCATCGGGCATAACAACAATACCAATATAATTAACAAATCCAAAATGATTATTTAAAGCATTATTGTAAAGATTTAGCAAATCAATACAGTTGTATCCAGGTATCATAACAAATGACACAAATTGTTCTTTTAAATATAACTTTGAGTAAGTATACAACATATTTTTTAGACTTTTAAATGTATTATTGAATAAATTATCTTGAGACACTAGCAAGTAGACACGTACTTTAAGGCTATTGAAATTTGAAGAATCAAAGAAACCATCAATTGAAAAATTCAAACTTGCAACAATTACATCCGAAGTCAAATTAACATTATATGCAAATAAGGATGTTGAAGGGTAATTAAAATATTGTCCAAATAACACACTGTTAACTAACACATTTTCAAACTGAAATAGACGTATTTTTGTATGAAATGTCACAACAGAATATAAAGTAAATAACTGAAATTGATCTGAAAAATAACATACAATTTTAACTTTATTAATAAAAAATAATAAACAAAAATTAGCAACAAAAACCAATTTTAAACTAATTTTATTTTTCATTTATTATTAGCATTTAAATCATATATATATATATATATATATATTTAAATATATATATATATATATATATATATATATATATATATATATATATATATATATATATATACAAACTTTTAGTTTAGTTAAAAAAAAGTTTTAAATTAAATAGTTAAAACAATGGTTTTAGATCACAGTGGATCAGAGAGACCGCCAGGTTTTATGTCGTGTCAATTAAACGAAACTTTTTTTATTTAATTATATTTATTTTATAATAATAGAAAAAGTTGTTTTTAAAATCTAAACCAAGTGCTAAGGGTCCCAAATGGGGCAAAACATTTGAAAATTAAAAATATTACATTTGAAATTAAAAATATATGTATTAAAATGTAATTAACGAACATTTTTTTAAAAATTCCTTTTTGCGCCTTTAACAATTTAACGGAAAAAAAGTAACTATTTATGGAGTTTGAAAGAACTGGTTTTTATTATCATTAAATTCTAATTGCTGAAAAATGTTCGTCTTATTATTATAAAGAAGATATTTAGAAGCTGATATTCTTTAAATGATGGAAATAATAGTAGACATAAATTTGTGTTTATAAAGAGTTAAGCAACATTAAAAATGTAATTCTTTTGCATAGCAAATAAAATCCAGGGTGCGCGATTATATAAAGAAGTTTAATTAATCGCGAAAAAGATGGCACAATTATTGATTTATATGTGGATATTGTGCTTCTATAAAATTTGTCAAATATTATAAAAGCAATATATATATATATATATATATATATATATATATATATAAATATATATATATATATATATATATATATATATATATATATATATATATATATATATATATATATATATATATATATATATATATATATACATATATATATATATATATATATATATATATATATATATATATATATATATATAATATATATATATATATATATATATATATATATATATATATATATATATATATATATATATATATATATATATATATATATAATAGACCTAACAGTTTAATATCTTATATTGCAGATTATAAAAAATAGAGGATTGTTAGTTTTTTTTTAACTTGTTTAAATAAATAATATTGCTTTTCAACGAAATGCTGTGTGCTGCTGTTGTTAGAAAATGTTTGGAGCCAGGTCTAAATCTTTAATTAGTGTAAATTCAACGGTAGAAGAACTGATGAAGTTGTTTGTTTATCCAGGATATTCTCTGGATGTGTGCAGCTATCCTAATGTTATATGTTCTGGATGTCAGAGAAATCTCTACCTACTAAAGGCTGGAAAACCTCCTCGAGGTTCATGGGGAGAAAAGATTGCCAAAGTATGTAAATATTGAACAAAATATCAAGTCCATTTAATTTATATATATATATATATATTTATATATATATATATATATATATATATATATATATATATATATATATATATATATATATATATATATATATATATATATATATATATATATTATATATAATTTATTCAAGATTGAATGGAGGATGATGACAAGAACAGCTTCATCTTCAACAATTCAAACCGAGGAAGTTCCTAATATATCAAACTCAAGTATGTCTTCCAAATTATGTAGTATATGCTTTTCAACTATTGCAAAAGGATATTTACACAACTGCTCTTCTTTATTTGCAGTAGAGAACCTGATCTTATTAGCATTAAGTCTAGGAAATTTGCAAGCAGAGCAAGTTGCATCTGGTATAATAAAAGCAAAAATGGAGACTGACAAAATTGCAAAAGGGGAACAATTTATTTTGTCTTCTGGCGGAAACCCATTGATGATTACAGTTGGATGTCCTGATAACAAAGCAAATAGAAGGTACATATATACTGTTGAGTACATATTTATCAAATGATAAGATATTAATATTTTGTTCATTTATACCTAGGTCAGTTAAACAAGTATCTCTTTAGATGATTAAAGAACTTCAAATAGTGTTAGAACTTTTCCTTAATAAAACGGGGCTATTGATATCTACTCTTCGAAAAGGAATAGGAAGTAAGTTGGCTGTAGAAAACAACATTTTTGGAAAAATGAGTGACTTAGAAGAGTCTTTATCGTATTTTTATCAAGTAAAAAAGGTGGCAATTATATCTTTTAGTATTGAAAATTAATTATAGCATTAAAGGTTTTTCAAAAATTTATTGTTATTTTTCAGGTCAACTTCTTTGATAGTACAGGTGGCACTTCATCTAACTTCAATTTAAGAATAATTTTAGAGAAACTCAATTTACAAGATGTTAAGTTTTCAGCAGCTTTTGATTTGAAATGTACTCATGCAGTTTTTGGAATATCAAGCCATGCAGGTAAAAAAGCTTGTCTTTGGTGTGAAGGAGAAGAGTGAAGTTTGTGGTAAACTGCGAACACTTGGAAGCCTTGACTATTGGTATCAAAGATACACTGTAGAAAATAGTTCAAAGAAGTCTAATATGAAACATTTTATGAACATAATATATACAAGAATTCTCTACCTCGATGAAGATCCAGATACACTAATCCAACATTTAGTACCTCCCCCTGAATTACATATCCTGATAGGAATAGTAACAACACTGTGGTGTTTATTATTGGATCTTTGGCCAGGTTTTGATATTTTTTTGAAAAATAGTGGTGTTCTATAAAGAGGATATCAAGGTAGAGGTTGGGATGGGAATAATTCAAACCAGATACTAAAGTGTGTTGATGAGTTGGAAAGAGTTGTTTTGTATGAACATCCTGATCTTCTGCCAATTGTTCAATGTTTAAAAGACTTAAAGATTGTAAAAGATTCTTGCTTTGGTAGAACACTTGAGCTTGGGTATCAGCAAGCCATTCTAAAATTTAAGAACTCCTTTTTGTCAGCTCAAGAAATTGCAGATATTCTCGGAAAAAAACTTTCAATTAGTTGGAAAGTACATATACTCTTGTGTCATGTGCAACCTTTTGTTGAACATCACAAATGTGGTTTGTCTAAGTTTGCTGAACAATGTGGAGAATCAGTTCACTCAAAATTCAAACCAACGTGGAACAGGTTCAAACGACAAGTTGCAACAAAGAATATGGTGGAAGACTCCTCTCTTCTGTTATTGATTTTAACGGAAGAAGAGTTAGTAATGTTTAGGTCCTTTATGTTCTATATGTCAGTAGTAATTGTAAATATTAGTCATTTTATTGTTTTAAATTTTATTCAATTCATTTAAATTAAAAAATAAAGATTGATAAATAAATAAAAAAATAAGAATTTTATATTTTTTACTAGATTCTATGGGCACTGTACCTGACTAATAAAAGATAATAAATTTTAAATAATTTTACAAATCTAAACTTCTAAAATGAATTCAGTGAGAGAAAAAAAAATTAAAATTAAAAAAAAATCTTAAATGGGTTTGGGGCCCCTCAATCTTCCCTTTTGCCCTATTTGGGACCCTTAGCACTTGGTTTAGATTTTAAAAACAACTTTTTCTATTATTATAAAAAAAAAACTAATAAATAAAAAAAGTTTCGTTTAATTGACCCGACATAAAACCTGGCAGTCTCTCTGGTCCACTGTGAGATATAAAGATGACTTTTTTGAAAACTCTGAAATCAATAGTTTTTAAACTTGAGCTACTCATTATGTTTTGTTTCATTATAAAAAATCCATTTTTAACATGTTTTAATCTCACTTAGCCAGTTTAGTCTAACTTAAGGCGGACATTTATAAATGTTTTTATATAAAGTAGACTAATAGTTTTTACAAACAAAATTTAATATCATTGCCGCAGTAGTTTGGCACAGATTTATAATATACCCACTATTAACAAAAAAGTATATTGGCGTCAATCAGATGATTTCAATTCAGAGACTGCAACGATTTAGAAAAATGGTTACCTTGTCAATATTGTATGTTAATCTTTTAAAATTTTTTGAACCTGCATATATGAGCAGACAATTCAATGATACACAACAATGATAAGCAGATTGATGTTTTAAAAATATTTAATGAGAAAGTAGTAGCTGCTTTGAAACTAAAAGGAGCTCATGAAACATCCTTATTTATTCAGCAGGTTTTAGATTGGTGGAATATTGTTAACGTTTCTGCACAAGGGCAAAATATTAGACTAAGAGACCACAGCCGATCTGTGCAAGATAAAAATTTGAATTATCTCTAAATATTTTTAGAACTATTTAAATCTATAAAATCAGGGCATGGACCAAAACGAATTCAATGTATTACCCATGATACTAAAAAAGCCCTTGTGAAAACCACTGAAGGATTGATAGCTGTCTGCAAGCATTTGTTTTCAGTTGGTTTTGATTATGTCTTACTTCGTTACAAGGTGACAGAATTGTAGGAGAATTTTTTGTTTACAGACAATCAACAGGGGCAAATGCTATGATGGCAGCTGGGGATGTTTTTTCTGCTTTTAAAAAACGTTTAACTCAATTTGCTGCAGCATTTCTAGAATCAGTGGAAGTAGAACAAATCCAATCAGTTTTAAAGATGCGACTTCAATTGAAACTTGCATTTATGATGAAAGCCTTTCAGAAACTGAAGAGAGCTCTGCAGCCTATGTGGCATAATGGCTGGAGAAAAAAATATGAGGGTGAACTAATTTATGCTGAGGATGAACCTATACTAACAAATGAAGCTAAAGACTTTATTGAAGAGGTTTCACAAGGATATTTGACAGTTCCTCATGAGTGTACATATCAGCTAGTTAGAATTGGGTTATGCTTTGTGAAAAAAACTAAACAGAGCATTTTGTAGAAAAAGACTTATAAACATTTTACCTACAATGGATACATATTATGATTTTGCTTCATCATCAAAAAATCTTTATAGGCATTTGGCTAATGTTCTATTGCATGAAATTAATAATTTGGACAAAGACCAAGCAAAAAATGAATGTTTTTATCAGAAATCAATTAAAAAGGCACGCCTTGCCGAATAATATTTATGGATAGACTTTGTTAATTTGTGTTTGTTGTTAATTTGCTTATAGAGTTTGTATATATATATATATTATTTCTATTACATATATATATATATATATATATATATATATATATATATATATATATATATATATATAAATATATATATATATATATATATATATATATATATGTATGTATATATATATATATATATATATATATATATATATATATATATATATATATATATATATATATATATATATATATATATACTTAAAAAAATTTTACATTATTATAAAATCTTCTATAGAATATTTGTTTATTTTTTGCAGATGAACTTTCAAAAGTTTTTTTAAATTTACTTTTTATTCTTTTTAAAAAGGTTTTATAGTTGTTATTAACTTTTACTTTGTTATTAAGTTTTTAATAATACTAAATTATATTCACTGTAAAATTATTTTCTTAATATTGGTTTTTCAAAACATTTTTTGGTTAGATTTAATTTTATAAACGTTTAGTAAGAAGTATTTAATGGGCTTCACTTAGAGAAGTCAGGAAATCAAGTTTGCGCGTCCTGTCATATAGAAGTCCTTGTTACAATTATAATTTTAAATATTTTCACAGCTATAAAAAGAGGTTTTAAGAGAGTGTTGTCAACAAGAGACATCTAATCAGATTATATAGCTTATAAACAATCTAAAGCTTGTTCATTTTGTGACATGTTTTTAGTTATAAAAAATAAAGTATGACCACTAAGCAGAGGTGGAAATTAAAGAACTACATTTACTCGCATTAATGTAATTGAGTAGTTTTTTTGTGAACTTTTACTTTTTAAGTATTTTTTTTAATGTTTACTTTTACTTTTGCTTAAATATTTTTTAAAGTCTTTAAAGTTTAAAGTTTATTTTTAGTTTAAAGTAATTCACAACATTTTTAATTAAATTACAGAATAAAAAAATTTATTGCCTATTAGTAATTAATTTCACAAAAAGTATGTACTAATTTTTTTAGCTGATAAAAATTATTGCCTGTTTTATAAAATTGTTTCCATATATTTTTCAGTGATGTTTTAATTGAAGCTATAAAGACATTAAAAAGCTTACATTTCGAATTTTAATTTTAATTCTAGAATTTTAAAAAGAATTAAAAAAAAATTTTAAAACGAAGATACTATGTTTACATTTTACACAGAGTACTATGAAAAAACATGAAAACTAATTTAATAACGTCTGTTCACAAAAAATCCGGAATGAAAAATTGTTCTTAATTGAATACAAAATTAATCGATTTTTGACAAAAATTTTAACTAAAATGAAAGACTGGACATTGTTAACTATTTTATAACCGAAAGTGGTCCTAAATCAGCGGGTTTTCAAACTTTAGTTTTGACTGAATCCATTAGGTTGAAAAAGTAGTCTGGATCGAACTCTTTCAACTTTAATTGAATTCTATTCTTAAGGTGGTCAAGATTTTTTGCAGTAAAATTTCCATAAACTTTTGCTTTTAAAATTTCCATAAACTTTTGCTTTTAAAATTTCCACAAACTTTTAAATGTGCCCAAAAATTTTCAATTAACCTTAACTGTGGTACATTTGGGTTATCTTTAGCGTCGACAAAGTTAATACCTAAAGTGTTGTAAGTTTCTAATGTGTGTTTTGCATAATGACATCTCGCTCCGTCAGGCCAAAATAAAATTTTCATGTTTTGATGCTTGGAATTTATAAATGGATGAAGTCTTTTTGTAATACATTCTTTAGAATAAGTTTTTGCATCCAGTGCACAGTTTTTTACAGCAAAATAAGGCAATGAATGACCGAAACGACTGATTTCAATCCAAACGAGAACTTTCTCGTCAAACTTTTTTTTGAAGTTGAATTTAATGTTAGGATAAGTTTGAGAACTTTCCTTTGTATAGTAGCCAGAGTTTTGTGAACAATTTGCACCATTTACACAGAAATAAGATTCATCGTCCATGATGATTTCAAACTCATTTGATGGCTTGAAAAAAATTTCTGAAAGTTTTAATATGTTTTTCTTTTGTTTAATTTCTTGCTTTTCTGTTGTTTTTGGTGCACTTTTTCTTTTGGTATACTTCAGTCCATGCATACTTAATAATCTATTTACATATAAAATGCTTATCTTATATTTTAGTGCAAATTTTATTTGCGAAATCCCGATTCTCTCTTCTGCTCTTGCAATCATGGACTCTTGAATTTTAAAAGGTTTTCTGCCGCAACCAATTTTTCTTTTCATTGGCAAATAATTTTCAGACCTTTTAATTATGTCATAAATTGTAGATTTAGCAATTCCCATTTTCTTAAAATGATCCACTGTAAATTTCTTTCCACTGTTTATGTTTTGTTTATAACAATTTCCAATCACATTTCTAACATCGTTCTCTTTTAGATGCTCCATGTTTATTTGAACTCAATTTTGCCACAAAATGAAACTGTTGTTGTTGACCGATTAAATTTAAAAATTTCGAATCGAAATTTAGAACAATTTGTGTACATTTGAAATCAGTCCGGATTTTTTGCGAACAGACGTTAAATTAGTTTTAACTAATTATAAATCCTATTTACACAATTATTGGCTTTTTTTTGAAGATTTCATTTTTAGATGTTCCTTGTTATAAGAAAAAAAAAAATTATTCAAAGCATTTTTTACATTTATGCATAGTGCACATACCTTTGCAAAATATAATCAGAAATTTACCAATTCTATGTTTCTGCAAACACAAAGAAAAAAAAATGCTTTACTGATAAAATGAGTATTAAATGACAAATTTTAATATCATATTAAAATACACTTAAAAATATTACTTAAATATGATAATTGTAAATATATACTGAAAAAGATACATAATGTTGTTTGTTTTTTATTCGACAGGTCTGTTACCTGATAATGGCTGTTAAAAAAGTAATGTGGTAACATTTACTCTAAATACATTTTTAATGAGCTTTTTTTTACTTTTACTTGAGTAAACTTTTCGACTGGTAACCTTTACTTGTACTTGAGTAAAATTTCACTCAAGTAACAGTACCCAATAGGATTTTTACTTAAGTACAAAATTTTGTTACTTTTTCCACCTCTGCCTCTATAGGGACACAAAAAGGAAAACATCTGTCTGATAAATTTTTTATTGTAAAAATATTTTTGTTAAAATTTATTTATTGCAAATTAAAAATGGCCGCATGAAACTTTCATAAGAAAAAGAGGATATTTGAGGATTTTGCATCTAATCAAGAAGAATTAAAAAATAGAAATAAAAAACAAAATAAAAAAAGAGCAGTTAAAGAGGAGATTTGACTAAATTTTAAATTTATTAGAGAGTAATAGAAGATTTTAGAGGAAGTTTTTTAAAAAAGAGGACTTTTAGAGAAGCTGTGGCCACCTTGAAATTGAATTGCAACTTATTGAATACAAATTCGCAATTGTGGTAAAAGCAAAAAGAAAACCAAAATGAAGGGATGAAAGTGAATGATTTCATGTCTTTTTCATAAGACTAATGATTATTTACAAATACAAGTTAATTTTTTTTTTATTAAAAACAACTTTTCAACAAACTCAAAATTTTTTTAATTAAAATAATAATCTGCATGTATTAATTATAAATCAAAAATAAATCCTAAATAAATTTTTTCAGTTTTTCAAAATAAGAAAACACTTAGAGTTTTTCTAAAAAATTCCTTTATTGCGCTTAAAGAAAAAAAGAAATTCAATCCAAGAGCACAATATTAAAATGGAGTGTCAAGGCAAACATTTATAAAATACATGCAACTTAATATTGGCTATGCTATTTCAATAGAATTTAAAGGAAATATAAATATAAAAAAGGCAATGATTCTAAATGAAAACATTCAATGACCAAATCATCGCATTCAAACAAACATCTGTAAAAGATATATAAATGGATTGAATTTTTGTATGGCTATTGATCTTTTTTTAAAAAAAAAGTTTAATGAGTACAAATAACTTACAAATTTATAGTTGTGTCTGCTCCCAGTGATTCTATAAGATTAGTACAATATTTATAAGATAAGGTTTGAGACCAAGCATTGAGCTTCTCAATAGGATCTACTTGTGTACAGTAAAAACTAATTATAAAATAATTAACTACTAGGACATTAAAAATCCTAAACTTACTTTTTAACATCTTGAACTTTATTGGCAATATCCTCCTCAATATATTGGGATATTAATGTAATTTTTGAGCAGCTGCTTATTTTAGGAGACATTTTAACTTTATTTTACTTTTAATTTAATTAATTTTTTTTGGACTTAGAAGAATAAAAACATATTTAATAACAATAAAACCCTTTCTACCCACACTCCCTTTTTAGTGTTTTAATTTTAAAGGCTTTTACATTTATTTTATCTATTTCTGTGTCAGAATGAAAATGAAAAAGTTTCAATTACATTACACTTGTCATGCATTTCTTGTGGTTATTTGAACACAGTAATGAAAATTATTCCTTTAAGGCTATTTACGGATCTTTTTTTGCTCCAAATCATCACATGTGTTTAATTTTATGTTTATAATGGGCAAACTTCCTTCATATTTAAAGAAAGTGTTAGTTCAGCATATTTTTTAATGACAAAACATCAATGACTGAAGGAGCGATTGACCATTGGGTGGTTTACCCTCACTATTTTTTACTAGAAAATTTTTAATACATATTGATTTTACACTATCGCGTGCTATTTAAAAAAAATTTTGAATAAACAAACAATAAAAATGGAATGCCACAGTGTTAACGTTTTTTTTACCAAATTTTTTCCAAGCAATGGAGTACACAGGTGAAGCTGCATAAGAAGCTCTTTGTTTAGTAATTTGGGTTAATCGTTGGTTCATACCCAACTATTAACCCAAAGTACTAAACAAAATTTGCCAATGCACACCAAATAGACTAACAGGAGCAACATTAATGCGCAACATAACTGTTAATAATCGGATACTTTACAGTATCCGATTATTAACAGTTATGTTGCGAAATTTTAAAATGTCTTTAAAAAAGAATTTTTTTAAAGACATTTTAACTAGATATTTAAAAACTAAAAATTAAGATCGTAAATTAAATGTTAAGAGAGATTTAAGTCTCTCTTATATATTAATCTCCCTTATATATATGTCTCTCTTATATATTAATAAATCTCAAGATAATTTAGTTTAAAAAAAAAAAAAAATCTAAATTATTGAATGAAGTCTGAACCTTGAAGGAAAAAAAAAGACATAATTTGTTTCATTGATAAAGTTATTATTAAGGCAGAATTGTTATATCAAAGTCAAAATGTTTTTAAAAAAAATCAGATAACTGCAGTTAAAATTGAGTTATGAGTTGAGAAAAAAAAAGCAGATAACTATCCCCCAGTTGAGATTAGTTATAAAAATAGAGAAGATTAATTTTAAAAATTTTATCCAGAAAAATTAAACTTTTTTTTCTAAACTCAAAACAAGAGATTGAAAACCATAGTGATATGAAAATGTCTATATAATTTTGTATGCCTATCATTTAAAGATGGCTGAAAGTAAAACTAGAACAATTTGTTTTTAACTTACATTGCAAATTAGAATGATTTAGTAAATTTTTTAAATTGGGGAGGGCTAGCAATTCCATTTGACACATAAACAATGCAAGACATAACATACATTAGTATACACTAGCATACAAAGTAAATACAGTAAAGTGAGTACACTAAAAAAAAAAATAATAGAAATGATTTTTTTAAAAACATTATAAAGATTCCTTTGAAATTAACTAATTTATTGGTAGACAATACTCATTATTTCCAGTAACTTCTGAGGTATCACAAGGTTCCATCCTTTGTACTGTGTTGTTCCTCGTTAATATTAATGACTTTTCTTGTAATGTTGCTCTAAAACAGCTTTATTTGCTAATGACAAAACTATATATTAAATTCTTGATAATAACCAGACATTTTTTTATTTGTTTAGAAGACTATTTTGAATTGTGAATTTTTATCCAATCAAAATTCACTTATTGACTGCTAATAACTATAGCAATATTGCTGATATTCTTATAAATACGAATGCTCCTACTAAGTCCTCTAGTTTATTTCTTCTCTACAAGGTCTTGCTGAAAGACTGTTGGCCAAAAATAGCTAACAATCATTGCTGTCAAGTTGCTGGCTTTACAATTGTAAGTTGTTGCAAACTAAATGCTAGCTGAATTACTAGAAGAGCATATTTTAATAAAACATAAAAAAATATACATACCATTATCTCCATGAACATAGTTATACAATATAATTAATACCACTTTATCAATCTGAAAAAAATTTTTTTGCAAATAAAATATAATGAAATTTAAAACAAAGAACATGTGCAAACTATATCATATACCATAAATATACCTTGTT